CCGGAGGTTGCAATGGTGCTTCGAGATGCTTTAAGTCAGCTGCGCTGGCTGACTGTGCTTACTGCAAAAGTGCTCGCTCCTTTTCTTTCCGCTTCGGCGGCCCGTTGGTGCAGCAAGCCACCCTTCGGGGCGTAGGCCACTGCACTGTAAAGCACACACACACACACACGGCGCGCTATTTTACTCGTCTTTGGTGTTGCTATGAGGTCGCTACATTCTTACGACACAGACAGCAGACGAAGGGATTGACGCTGCGTCCAGTCGCCTTATCCGTGATGCTTGTGGTGAACAGCTTTTGTCAATTCCTTGGGGTCGTTCCTAGGTTCCCAAGTACCCTTTTGCTCTTTTCTTTCGGGCTTCCTTACAAAAACTTTAAAACCGAATAATAGGAAAAAGGGCACCCTTAGTATTAAGGGCTACTGGGGAGGGAACCGAGGTTCAAAACAACGTCCTTGCTTGGGCCTTGCAGACAGGCGCTCTTGAGGCTGGAAATGCAGTGGGACCCTACGTGATCAGCATGGTTGGCTTTGGAATGCTCTTTGTTGCGGCTATTCCAGTTGGATGTTACTCTGCCTTGGGGACCTTGAGAGACATTCGGGACCTGGAGCCGCAATTGAAGCAGTTCGATGTTGAGCACTCTGAGTGCTTTTGCTGCTCCAACGATCATCGGCATCCAGACACTGGCCAGAAATTGCGTTGTGACCGACGCTTGGTCTTCCACACCTTGAAAGGGTGGTATGGGGAAGCTGGGGACACCGCTGATGAGCATCTCAAACGCTTTTCCTCCACCGTGCAAACCAGCCTACGTCACAAAGTTTTGGAAGGCGCGGATTCGGTGATCTTTCCGAGCCGCGTCGTAGCGTGTATGACTGTTGCTGCTTGTGCACCCTGGTTTTGCGATTCACTGGCTTGGGCAAAGGCATTTTGCCTTTTTCAGGAAGAGCTGGGTCCGTTCTCTGCTGCATGGAGGTGCTTGGCTGTGGTGACACGTGAATCCGGGTCCTTGCTGGCTACAGCTTTACATTTTTGTTATGATTAGAAACCCCATAGGGATTAAGCATGATCATTTTAAATATAGCCCCAACCCCAAAACCCTAAACCCTAAACCCTGAACCCTAAACCCTAAACCCTCAACCCTCAACCCTAAACCCTAAACTGCAGGAATGGTCACGGTTCTTTGCAGTCTTCCTTTTCCCCTATGCTCTGGTGAAGCTTTGCAAGCTCGCCTTGCCTCTTGTGGCGAAGATGTCCCCAGTAGTACCCTTTTGTCCTTTTTCCCTTAAGGGTTTAGGGTTTAGGATTTAGGGTTTAGGGTTTTGGGTTCCCTTAATAAAACAAAATGGTAGGACAAAAAGGGGACCCTTAGTATTTTCGGGGCTACTGGGGAACCTAGGTGGCGAAGATGTCGCAACTAAAGGCATCCCTGTTGGTCTCTTGTGCAGCCAGGTGCGACGCTGGGATGCTTTTCTTTTTGCCTTATTGGGTTTATTTCGGGTTTAGGAGGATACTACTTAGTAACATGACCTTAAACCCTAAACTTTAAAGGATACTGAAGCGCAACATTTCGTACTAAACACTCAACCCAAAAGCACTTAGGCAAGCTTCGCGGCCTTCGGAGCTATATGGTTGCTTGGCCAATGTCAGGGATCTGTTTGGTGGTTTTCGCCGCGGTTTTTTATAGGGTTTTTGGTTTTAGTCCTAATTCCGAAAGAGAGCCTGTGAACTGGATCCTTTTCCTTGATTTCCTAAGCGGGGCCAAGGTTAGCGAGCAGGATGCCCTACACGTTGTTGCAACGGGCAGGCCACGTGGACCATTGGCCCTGGTTGACATTGGCGTGGCTACTCCTGGCACTCTCTTTGATGCGAGGTTTTCGCTGCAAGTCGAAGTAATGTAGGAACCTGATTAAGAAACCCTGGCCCTAGAACCCCCAATAGATTAGGATTCATATTACATATAAGGAGCCCTAATAAAGACCCAGGGTGTCCTTAATCAGGTTCCTATATTGACTTTGTCAATTGCAGAGGTGTTGGAGGCTTCAAGAGCTGACAGCATGTGTGCATTGAACCAGTGGTGTGGAGAATCCGGGTGATGTGCAACAGAGATTGTCCCGCTACCGTGGGTCGTTCTTATGGTCGGGAAAGGTTGCCTTCATTGCTCAATGAGATCCTTAAGGGTCCAAAGGACCTAATAATAAGGTACTTTGGTTGCGGATAGTTGTTATCTAGGTTAATATTGGGGAGAGTATATGATTATTAGGTACTTGGACCCTTAGGGAGATCTTCAAATTTTTCTAAGCAGGATACCTGAGAAGCATGTCTCACTCGCGAGCCAGTTGGGGGGCTGGCCGCCACAGCATCGCTTGGTTTCTTTTTAGCGAATCTAGGGGCCTAAACGAATACCATTGTTCCGTCGGTTCCTTCTCATATTTTGCACTACCAACGAGCCCAAAACCCTATTCTAACTAATAAGGCCCCTACCTTACGTGACTTTTCCTTGGACCCCTGTGTGAGCGTAAGCTTGAACGCTTCACTCGAGCCCTCTTCTTGCTCACCTTCGAATGCTTACCTAAGCAGGGCATTGGGACATTTTATATTTTGATAGGGCTTCAGGAGACAATAATTAGGAACTATTTTTCAGTGGCTTTGAGGGTCAACCTAGCTACGTCTCGTTCACTTCAGCAGGCTCTTACATACGCTCCCACAAGCTCTTCAGTCTCCATGTCCCCTAACCTGAGGCCAACTAAGCCCAAACTCGTCAGCAGGTCGAGCCGGATGTCCAGACGGTAGTTTGGTGCGCAAATGACTCCGGCTGACCCCAAGGGTCCAAAGGACCCAACAGCTAGGTACTCGGGTTTGGGATAATAGCTATGTAGGATTACTATTTGGAGAGTATATGATAATCAGGTACTTGGACCCTTCGGCGGAAGGTTGCGGAAGTGTCGCACAGTGCAACGTCATAGTGTTCTTGAAGAGACCCCTTTGCTGCGTTCTGTAGGAGAGTGAACAATTCCCAATGCTGTCTCTTTCGGTTCCTCAATGTACTATAGGGGCGTTTAATAAATTGCCTATACTACTTACTTTATGGGGTTCCTTATTATAACTATAGTATAATATACCCTCCCAAAAAAGCCTGTTCTAATTATTAAAGCCCCTACATTACTTATACGATAATGTGCCCCAAGACCCTCTTCCGGCGATGAAGGTCCTTAGATTACCTGATCTTCACCCACCCACCGAAAGCTCCGAAATTAGTTTGCTGAGCTGTACGGGTTGATGTTGTTTTCTAGACTTAGATGACAAGAAAGCGGCTACTGTTAGTTCCGATGAACTTGTCTCCAGGCAAAAGCTCGCACATGTAAGCAAACCACATGTCAATGATGGTTCCTCGTATCACTTGTTGCTAAGTTTGCTGCCCTTCATTTGCCTTGTTCTGGCGTCCGCATGTGTTTTCTTTGGTCCCATTCTTCCATTTCAACGGAGTCTCAGCTGGCTCTACACGTCCTTTGGAACGGAGAACAGCGGATATGCCTGTAAAGCTGCTGCGGATTTTTCGAAGTACTCAGCCCTAAACGCTCAACCCGAAGTGCGCAAGAAGAGGGTCTGATTTTTCAATCACCCTGCGCAAGAAGTGGGCTTGGTCAACTTCCCTCCCGCCCACTCTCCAGCATGGGGGCTTGCGGTAGTCGCACCCAGGTGATGGACCCAGAGACTCCAAAATCCCTTACTTAAGGAATCATACAGTAAATCATAGTAAGGATCCCTTTAAATTCAAGGCATATTCCGTATTTAAAGGGTCTTGGAGTCTCAGGGAAAGGTCCTTGGTCGCGCCGAGATACCCGAAAAACTGAAGCACCTCGTGAAGAAACAGTGCATCTTTGCGGCTTATTCGAGGCTTTATTTTTTGGGGTTGGGAGGGACGAGGCTTCGTGGCAAACGCAAGCCCGAAGCCCCAGACCCAACCCTAAAACCGTCCTCGACACCTTCGGACCCAAGTATCCGCAGCCCTCCCACCCCTAAACCCTAAACCCTAAACCCTAAACCCTAAACCCTAAACCCTAAACCCTAAACCCTAAACCCTACACACTTCATGACAAGGGGCGGCGGCCACCCGTCCGGATGCAGCTTCGGATGCTGTGCGAGTTGCGGGCCAAGCTGGGAATGATGGGGGCGGGCTTGGTCTTGCGGGAGCTTGGCTTTAGAGTTTGAGGGTCCCTAAGCCTTAAACCCTTAACCCTAAATCCCATCAAGGTCATAATTTGCACAATTTGGGCAACTCGATGGGCTGCAGGGGGCTTGGCCGATTTCTTTTCTGTTCATCCTTTCTCTCCGGACTGTATCTGATACTTGAGGGCTTGGGGCATGGCAGCTTGGCCGAAAGATGCGTCGGTGCTACTGTTGATGATATAAATCCTGCATTCCGTAAGGACCTTAAACTATGGAAATTATAGGAAATTCGTGATTATGGGTAATGCAGGATGTATATCATCAACCGTATGATCTTGTCATTGTCCGTGACTTGCCGGTCCGGCTTACACCGCCAACATCCAGCAACATAGCCATCCCCAGGCCTTTCTAACCGCCCTAGCAGGTAAAGCCCTGGACCCTAAACCCTATAGATCCCAAGAGCCCTAAACTTCCTACGCCTGGGGCTCCACGAACTAATTCTGGGCGTTTTAGGCTCCGCCTCTTCTGATGTCGCAAGAGAGATCCTTTGGCACCATGGCGGCTTTGGCAATCTTCGCCTTGGCTTCGGCCTGCTTCGCCGAGGTACCTAAGCTTTTCAAACTAATTTAGTGGCTGAGTAGGTAACTTTTAACCTTTTGGGGTTTATATAATCCTGCCACAGTTAAAAAGGTTAACCGCCTAAACCCTAAACCCTAAACCCTAAACCCTAAACCCTAAACCCTAAACCCTTTTTCGGGCTAGGGTTCTCAGCCCCGAAGATAATGGAGCTTAAGGGTTGAGGGCTCAAAGAGGGTATGGGGTTTATAGGGCTTACAGGGTTTATAGGGCTTTGAGGTTTTATAGGGCTTGTAAGGGCTCACAGGGTTTATAGGATGTGCAGGGCTTATATTAAAGGGCGAAGAGGGTTTGTGGGGTTTATAGGATTTTGTGGGCTTTCGGGGGTTATCGGGCTTATCGGGCTTATCGGGCTCGTAAGGCCGTAGGGTTTAGTGGTTCAGGTTGGGGAGGAACCTTAGTGTGCTGTGTAGGGCTCATTAGTTGTTAACTTGGTAACGTTGTACCCGTATAGTCCCGATTGTAATAATGGTATAGTAGCACCCCATATAACACTGTTCTTAAACCATCCTTGTATTTATTGTTCGGTTTTGCTAAGTGCTCGGGCGATGCCATTTATCGAGAGAGGTGAGAATCAACAAGAGAGTCATCGGACACGGGAGAGAGGCAGAGACAGAGTGAAAGAGCGAGGCGAAGACGTGTTGGATCCATTCACTCATCCATCCATCCATCCATGCATACATGCATTCATTCATTCGCTCTCTCGCTCTCTCTCTCTCCCTGTCCCTCTCCCTCTCTCTCTCTCTCTCGTTCTCCCTCTCCATATAGAATATAGACACAGCCTATAATGTGCGCTGTCGGGGGTGATCTTGAATATTCAACCCTAGTGCCGACGCTTTCAGGGACTTTGGGTCTGGGGTTTAGGGGGCTTAGGGTTAAGGGTTGAAGGGTTTAGGGTTTAGGGTCTTTAAGGGTTTAGGGGCTGAAGGGTTTGGGGTTCCAAGGTTTAGGGTTCTAAGGTTTAGGGTTTAGGGTTTAGGTATTCAGGGGGCTTAGGGTTTAGATTCTGGGCTCTTGGGGTTGAGTTTAGGGTTTAGAGTTTAGGGGTTTAGGGTTTAGGGTTTAGGGTTTAGGGTTTAGGGTTTAGGGTTTAGGGTTTAGGGTTTAGGGTGCTCCAGGGTTCAAGGCTGCCGGGCTTAGATTTGGATTTAGCGTCGATGCCCGCACCAAAATCCCATTTCTTTCCCTGCAGCTAAACCCGAAACCCTAAACCCTAAACCCTAAAAGGGGTAGTGTTCC